CTAACCCTAACCCTAACCCTAACCCTAACCCTAACCCTAACCCTAACCCTAACCCTAACCCTAACCCTAACCCTAACCCTAACCCTAACCCTAATCCAGCAAAACATCGGGGAAATCGAACGATTCTCCCGTCATATGCACGAATACATCGGGTACAGGCTACTACGTTTGATTGCGATTGTTCTAGAGCTTCCCGAGGACTACTTCGTGTCTAAACATCGCTATGATCAGAAAAGCGGCTGCAACCTCAGGTACCTGAAAAATAATGCAAGAACGGTGGAGGAGATCAAAAAGCTTGGAAACACCCCTCCCGTGCGTGGCCACACAGACTTTGGGAGCCTAACCATGTTATTTCGGCAGCCAGTGGCGGGGCTACAGGTGAAAACCCCCGAAGGAAAATGGAAATATGTCAAGGCACATCCAGCAAGCATCACCGTCAATATCGCCGACATGATGGACTTCGTCTCTAACGGCTACCTTAAGAGCAGCGTACATGATGGACTTCGTCTCTAACGGCTACCTTAAGAGCAGCGTACACCGCGTGGTATCTCCCCCTCCTGACCAGGTTGCACTGGACAGGATAGGAGTTATCTATTTCCTACGATTTGAAGACGACGTCGAGTTGAAGCCGGTGGACAGTGTCCTCTTGAAGAACTGGAGCTCAAGTTCAAGACTGGGAGAAGCAAATGGGGTCACGGCTGGGGAGTGGGTGAAAGCCAGAACAAGGGACAACGCAAAAATGGCTGCGATTTACCTCAATGAAGAACCCGAGGTGGTCAAGAGTATCAAGATCCATAACTTTGCCTGAATCATATAAGGGAATTGTTCTCATGTAGTAAACTTCTGGTAGTATTTTAGACATGACTCTCTCTTTCCCCTCCTTCGCGCGAATTCTACCTAAAACACCGGTACCTATCCACGAAAAGTGATATGCAAAAGGGAGTTTCCCACGCTCGAGCGCAGCAATTTGCATTACATCCGACTTCGGCATGCCATGACATTGAGAAACTAGGGTGCGAGGCAGATAAGAGAAGAGATATCATACTAGTCTCCTTATATTATCAACTAAAATGGAAGATGGTTTGATCAGTATGAAGTTGATTGACAAAAAATCTCCGGCAATAACACCATGCGTCCTAGATGGGAGACTTGGCTGCTGCCCGTGGTACCGGCGAATACGTAGGCAAGCAATTTGGTCAAGCTCTATGCCGAGGGCTGTCGGTAAGCATCAGTACAGGAGGTGATTTGGCCTGACATGACAGGCCTGGAACCAACACCAAAAAGAAGCCCCCAAATTACTTTCCATGCGTAATTCTACTCAAGGATTGAGGAACGAGCCATGTTCCATAGAACGGGCATTTTCCGGGGCCTTTCACCATGCTGAAGGAGGCTGCTTAAGCAGCCATTCTTAGGATTGACCCGTTTCGAGTTGCTTCTTATCAATGGAAATTTCCTTGCGATGATAGACCTTTCGCGAGACATGGCCCGTGAGGTACTGGTCCATGTCGGCAAGGAAGACTGCAGCAAGCACTGCAACCAGTCCTATGGCCAAGGCTGCGTAGTAGACGTATGCGTACGCCGCGGCTTGAGCATACGCGGTGGCAGATGTGACGGCTGCAAGGATAGCATTATTCATCCCCTTCACACTCTGCAAGGCTTCTGCTGTTCCCGCCCCCAAGGCTGTTAAGAGGGCTGGAATAGAACTCGCCGGAAGGCCAGCGTTCTGGGCTGCCGGTATGACGTATTCTGGAATTTTCTGAGCAGCCTTGTTACTCAGGATGGCGATATAGATAGCCGTGAAGATAGATCCAGCGACATTTCGAGCAGCGCATACTACGGCTAAGTGACACGTTAGTCTTGTTTCACAGTTTCAAGGGTAATGTTGGCCTCCACTTACCGAATCCGACACCTAGATCTTCGTCTGGTACAATGTATTGGACCATTAATGTGGAGGCTAACTCGAGCCATCCAGTAGTAATGGGAGTAAGAATCATCAAGGCAATAGCAGTTTTCAGATTGTCAGGTTTGAGGACCGAGACCGCACCGCTGAAAGCGGCCATCCAGCAGGCTCCAAAAAGTACTTTCCATTTTACTTTTCCATGCCAAGTGGTGATCGGAGATAGTATGACGATGCCGACAAAGTTGCTGAGACTGATGATATTCGCTAGCCAGCCAGATTCTTGCCAGGTCAAGTCTGCTCCGTATATAGTATTGACTTCAGAAGGCCAAACGATGTTAAGAGCGGTATACGAGGTGCCCGAGGTGGCCGACAGGATGGCACAGCAGGTAAAACCCCTGAGGTCCTTGAAGAGGCGTAAAGGTATGATTGGATATTCAACCTTTGAAAACATCTCCCACAAAATGAAGAGGACAATCCCCACAAATCCAGAAATGAGGAGGCCCAAGATGGTCGGCGATTGCCATGGTAGAGGCTGGCCACCCCACGCAACTCCAAGAAGGAAGAGGCAAAGGCCAGCGATGAGAAGGAAAAGCCCCAAAAAGTCGATATGTTTGATCTCATCTCTGCGTTTGCGTTCGGAGCTGTGCAACATTGTGAACGTTGGAGGACGGTAGAAGAGAAAGAAGCAAGAAATGGATAGACCTTTGACCAAAGAAGTCAGCATCTCTGTTCGCCAAATGAAGGATTCCCATCAACGTGCTTACCATTTATAATGATTCCAATGTAGTAGATCCACCTCCAGGATTCTATACGAAGCAGTCGAACAGAAAGGTATGCGGAGAAGTCGAGCGGAAGAGCAAAGGCATTCATGATCATCACCACCCAGAATTTGAACTTGTTTGGGACGATTTCGCCAAGTAGGAGGGGATAGGCCGCGGCGACACCCGAGCCTAGTCCGAGCAGAACGTTGGCGCCGATGAGCTGATTCATGTTGTGTGCCGTGGCCGCTACAATTCCTCCGAGCACGCTCAACAAGTTTGCTCCGAGAACGAAATAGCGCCGGCCAAAGCGATCAGAGAGACGGCCGAAAAGAAGGAGGCTGATGGGCTGGCAGAGGCTCCATACGATCGAGAAAAGACTGGCATTTCCGGTGCCTCCAATATCGGCAGCAATGTCAGCCAGCACAGCTGCTGGACCGATGAACATCCAATAGCTACCGCAGACAAAAGATGCAACAGAAATGACGGTCCCTACTATGGGAGGGCTGAAGAAGTATTGGGCTCCCAGCTCCGCGAGATCTGCCGAAAGTGCAACAGAGCGTTGATGGTCGATGGCCTTCTGCTCCTTCTCTGTGATATGGTGATCGCCATGGTGCTCGAATTCCGACTGTTGGGCATGCGGCTTAATGTCGTATTGGACAATTTCTTCCTGGGGTTTGGTTTCAGCCATCGTTCTTGTACTTTCACTTGAGACCGCCCCATGTATTCATCAATCTTTTCGGAGGAGGGCGGGCACCCCACCGCATTTTATACATGAGCGGAGGTTTGTCTCGGTTAACGACAAGAGAAATATGACCTAATATGAATGTGCTATGGTCCAGAACCCCTGGAGCCTGGAGGGGTATCCGGGGTAAATGGATCCTGGAGAAGGACGAGGGTTCTGGTACGCAAACCGGCCCGCTTCTCCGGGGTTAATCGTGGACTATCGCGACTTACTCGTTCTTGACCTGAATAGAAAGTGAGGTCGGACATGGACTGTCGCGGAATCTTCCCGTGTCCGTGTTCCACTCTTATCAAATAAGGCGAGTTGAGAAGAGGGGATTGAAAATGAGTCGAAATGCTACGAATTGACCTTCCACGGATGTCGATTCGTAGTGGTCCAATCATCATGACATCGAGAAGGAAACATTGAGGTCTGGCTAACAAACGTCTAGGTTTCATTAAGCTCATCTGGACAGCCGTTAAGGGAAGTCTTTCAGTGCGGCAGTTCAAATTCCCTGTGAATATTGGTATTGTTTCGCGGGAGAAGGGACCAGTTGCTCCCGTTCGAAGACACACGGCCCATGGATCCGGCACTTGAGCTGAAGGGGGCAGAACTAACGGGATGTGTTCAATTAACGGCAATCCCTTGCCGAATCAATGCCAAGTCCAAGTTGATATAATGTTCGATTCACAAGGTCGAGAAAAACTTGACGGACGAATGCAAGCCATAGTCAATAAGACCTAACATCACTTTTTTGGTCCAAAATATTTGCGTTCTAGTGAGTCCTGGGATCATCAGTCGAAATGGAGAAGTCGGAGATTTCAGAGCACCTCCAGGGGAGTCGCGGCATCGTGGATGGAAACTTGTATGCCACCATGAACGGTGTGAACTCGTTGTCCATCGAAAAAACAAATCACAGCATCTCCCGCGGCCACATCAAGGTTATTGTTGTGGGAGCTGGCGTGGCTGGCATTACTCAAGCCGCGACTCTTCTAGATGACAAGACTATCACCACGAAAGAAATGGTGGTTTTCGACGTCCTAGATGGGTTCGGGGGAGTCTGGGAGAAGAATCGATATCCTGGATGTGCATGCGACGTTCCTGCTTTGATGTATTCCAGTCGAATGATGATTAATACTGGTAAGTACCTCTCCTTACATATCCGAAGACCCTTGTTATTGCGGGTCTTTGTCCCTAATGCCAACCGCAACAGAATATACACATACGTATGCCACACGCGACCAGATCCAGACCTTTTACGAAAGGATGGCACACCATTACGGAGTCGACCGGTGTACCCAGTTCAGGACTTTTGTCAACAGCTGTCGATGGGACGATCAAAGTTTTGTCTGGCATGTGCAGACGGAAAACCAAAATTCTGGTAGCCTCGAGCACTGGACTGCCGACGTTGTCATCCATGCCATTGGTAATCTAGATCGCCCTAAGTTTGGTGGCATTCCAGGTCTCGAAGACTACCAAGGTCTATACTGGCATACGTCGGCTTGGAACAGTGACGTCGATCTAACTAATAAGCGAGTGGCTGTAGTCGGCTGCGGTCCAAGTTCGGCTCAAATCATTCCTGAGATCGTGGATAAGGTGGAACATTTGACGGTATATATGCGTACGCCGCCTATGGTCTTACCGAGAGAAGACTTCAAACATTCAGAGTAAGTCCCCTACAAATATTCTTGCTTTTTTTCAATGCTACAAACATAGCTAACTCGTCCAGCACATTCATGTGGTGTATGAGACATTTGCCTTTGTTTGCTATCGCTGTTCGCTTCATAGAGATCATGAAAGGATACATCTTTGGCCAACTGCTCGTCACCGAGGGCAGTTGGTTGAACGAATCTTTCACGAAGAAGGGCCATGACTTCCTTGAGCAGCAAGTCAAAGAGCCTGAGCTACGGGATATCTTGCGGCCAGATTTCAAATGTGCGTATTCTACTCCGTACGTCGACGGGTGCTGTATCAAGGCTAACGATGTTGAGTGCAGTTCTATGCAAACGACCGTTGTTCTTGAACACTTTCTATCCATCCCTCATGAAACCAAACTGCACCTTGGCGAAAGAAAAGATCGTCCGTTATACTAAAACGGGGATCATCTCATTAGACAGGATCACTAACGAAGAAAATAAGCGAGATTTCGATGTTATTATCATCGGAACGGGCTTCAATGCAGCTCAATTCCTTGAACACGAAAGGGTGATCGGTAGAAATGGCATCGATCTACAGGAACAATGGAAGGAATATCCTTCAAGTATCTACGGCGTGGCCACTTCGAACTTTCCCAACTTCTTCTACTGCAACGGCCCAAATGCCAATACTTTCTCCTCTAACATCCACGACATCAACGAACTCGCCTCCAAGTTCATTTCAATGCTAGTCAGAGAAATCTTTCGACGCAACAAGCTCGGACTAAAGTTCGCCATGATGCCTGAGCCGCAGTTTGAGGACGTTTACAATAAAGAAATCCAGTGGAAGCTCAGGAATGTGGTTATGCAGAATCCAAATTGCGGCAATTCTACTGTGAAAGACCAGAACAATCATAACACCGTGCTGCATCATCGACACATCTTGGTTATGAAATGGAGGCTGCGGTCTATTAACTGGAAGGAATGGATCGCTCTACAAGCACCACCAGGAGAAAAACAATCCCCTGTTACGAAGGCATTCCTCAATTAACAGTCTGTCTGATTGGCAATACAACAGGCTCCGGGTGCAGCCATAGGAGGACAGTCGTCGCTTTAGGGGATTATCAATAGCTGAACAACGGAGACATCAAGAATCAGATGTCCTTCAGTTAACACTTCAGCAGAGTATTCGGCTATTCTGCCGAATCTGCCGTCGTATGATTTCCCGATCCGAAAGGGAAGAATCTAGCTCATTCTGCCGGGAACTGGTAGAAGTAAAGAATATAGTGCGGGTGACCGCTAAAGTAGGACTGGACGCTACCTCCTATCGAGGACCTCGTACACCGAATGACCATTGCGAAGGATACTGCCGCGTGAAATGTTCTGACTCGTCCGGGTAAGAGACCCGGGAGCTTGGGATACAAAGAGAGGTTCCGGTTTGTCATCCACTTTAGGCGTACAGCAGCATACCTTAATATATCCTTTTCTCCTTCCTTTCGATCGGTCCAATTTTGAGGAAAAGTTCAAGCGGCTCAGAGCACATCTTTGACGCCCGTTCCTAAGCCGTCTTGGTATCAGTCCAGGGGCGCTGGCTCATCCAAGGCTCAAGACACCTTGCAACGTCAACGAGACAGGTGTTTTAGAATTGGCGCCAAAGCCCATGCATTAAATCGAAAGCCCAAAAATCATAGTAAGAAAGATGGGGAGGCTAGACGGGACAGTGAGCATCATCACGGGCGGTGCCCGCGGAATGGGCGCGTCTCACGTTCGTGGATTCGTGGCCGAAGGAGGGAAAGTTGTCATTGGCGACGTCCTTGAAAATGAGGGCCAGACGCTGGCAGCTGAACTGGGAGATTCTGCGCGCTTCGCAAGGCTCGACGTCACTTCGGACGAATCGTGGAGGCATATCATCGCGCTGACCGAGCGGGATTTTGGTCCCGTTGACATTCTCATCAACAATGCCGGGGTCGTTCTGTGGAAACCCCTAGGGGCGACGAGCACCGAGGAATTCAAGAGAGTTGTTGACATTGACCTTGTCGGTCCGTTCATCGGCACCCGAGAAGTCGTCCCCTCAATCAAGAAGACTGGGAGAGGAGGCGTCATTATCAACGTCTCCTCGACAGCCGGCTTACAGGGTTTCGCCTACACATCATCCTACGTGGCGGCGAAGTGGGGTCTGCGTGGCCTCACAAAGGCCAATGCGCTTGAGCTCGCCCAGGACAATATTCGCGTCGTCTCGGTCCATCCTGGTGCGGTAGAGACGCCCATGACTAAGAAAGTCACCCCAGAATCCTATTCTCAACAGCCAATTCCTCGCATGGGCAAGACTGATGAGGTCACCTCTCTCATGGTGTACCTTGCGGCCAGCGCCACTTTTAGCACGGGTTCAGAATTTGTCATTGATGGAGGAGCTTTACTAGGACCGATAGTGAAGGTACCTCTAGAGTCAGAGTAGCAGAATGTAACTCCGTCATCTGGCGAATGAAGCGCACTAAAACTCCTGGAAGAGATGTGTCTACGAGATTATCGATTCAGAAGAAATCTAAGCTGCGAATTACCTAAAGGAGTCGATTATGTAGATAACTTGTGCATAGTGATGGCCCGCCGCGTAGGGATCAATTAGTACTATGCAAAGATTGAGAAGTGGTTAGACAAGGCAGTAGGAAAGTGAGGATGCTGGGCCAGCCGATTTCAGAACTGATGGCAATTGAGCAACGAGTTTTGGTTTATCTAACGTGACAGCTCCATTACTCCGTGTAATCTAGGCGACAACGCCGGGGTTGAGTTCCGTAGCCATCAATTTACACAGACTAGTTTACGAGTACAAGGACTGGTTCAAGGCTTCTTCTTCGCGCGTCGCACCGTTTACCCGGTTAACCCGGCGCCTGCTGGCTCTCCCCGGGTCTGTCCCGCCGCAGTGTCAAAGAGAAGGGCAAAGGTTTGCCGGACGAACAAGAAGTCAGGGCTGAAGTTTAGGAATGGGGTAAAGGCTGCAGTAGTGGATGATCTTTCTCTCAGCTATCTTTTCCCGCCATAAAGTGGCACGAACCGCCCACACCTCCCCTTCTGACTCAGACCTTTCCCAAGTGCAGTACCAGGTAGTCTATGACCGTAACTACGACCTCCGAGGGGATTTTGTCTAGTACTGTGATTGATAGACACTACTGAAGTCAAACCAAGGCTAGGGTATATAAAACCTAAGAATGCTTAGTCGCCTGGCGTGACTTAATATAGAGCATCTGGTGCTTTTGTCGACTCTGGGGTTCCCGTGGGGTTGGGGGTTCATGAACACTTAAATAACCTAACCTCTTATCATTTAGTATTCCACTATGGAATACTATGCTAAATAGGTATACATTAGTAATTTTTCCCGCGGCCCAGAGTATTCAGTAATGCTACTTTAGCCTAGGGAGCCTACAGCAGTGTCAAGGGTGCTTTATTAGAGATAGGTAGTACTTAGCGATAGATAGATTCTATAGTAATGAGTATCCCTTTACGTATAGTAGTAATAAGACTCGAAGCATAAGAACATAATGCTTCTTAGATCTAAGGAGTATACTTTTCTCCTTTGGGGTTAGGGCAAACTAAAGTAGCTTAGGCCTATCCAGCTTAGAGTTATCCTAAGTAGCCTTTCGAACCCCTTTACTTGAGGTAGCGTAGGAGGATACTTCTCCTCTATAAGTAGTATACCCCTTTCATATGATTTACTTTAGCTTCCTACTCTATTTATGATAACTTCATTCTTAAGACTCTAGAAGGTTCTAGAGGGTACATTAGTAGGAGATAAAGGTCTAAATAAAGTAAAAAGTAAATTAAGAGAAGGGAAGGGGACCCTAACTCTACCCTCTAGTCACAGTATCTAGGCTCTTATTTACTAACGATCTAGCTCATGCCGCTCATCAAGCTCAGTCATCCAATCACTAAGCCCCTTAACTCGATCATCCATTCACTGAAGGGCCGCTCTCTAATGTGTCGAGGCGCTTCTCAAAGTGGGTTTGGAGAGCGTAGATGTTGTCGTGGATGACTTCGCACTCGTTATACAGATTTTTGAAGATAGCGATGTAGTCGTCTTAGACCTTAGAGTCAAGCTCTTCAAGGAACGGTTTCAGCGTCTGGATGTCAGAGCTGCTTCCTATATGGCTCGACGGAGTTAAGCTTCCTCAGTCATAGTTCCTTATATTGCATGAGCTAGGTCGAGAGTACGCAAGGTATGAATAGTCCGGTGACTTCAGAATAGTCTAGTGAAGTAGATATCTTGAAATTAGCTATACGAGAGTGTAACTATAAAAGGGTAATGAGCGTAGCTATATACTTATGAGGTCTGTCCCGAATAGGTAACTGAGGATGGTATGTTAATATGTTAATATGTCCTATATCGATATATCGACATATCGTATCTTTCCCTTTCCGGTAGTTACGTACAGCACGTGACTTCGCCTTATCTTTGTTAGGCTGCTGCACCCGGGCGAACTTGCCCTGAGACGCCCCGCGTCCCAGGTCGCATAAGGGTCACTTCTAACACTGGACCATTAACAGGACCGTCAACATGAGTGGAAGTGATTCTCTTAAGGATGTATCGACCAAGAGGTAATGATACGAGGACGTGGCTGAAAATTAAGGGCGCAGGCAGCAGTTGCGCCAAGGGTTCTTGATAACGGAAATGGAAAGTAGGATGAAGGAACCTTAGTCATTGTGTCACATTGAGAAGCACAAGAATTGCCAACCGATTGAGATCTGGCATAGATTAATACAGTAGTACCTTGAAGAATGTGTTGTGGCTGATATTATACTCGGAACTTATGACTAGCCTTGGTTAAAAGAAGTCATCATGGAGATTTTTAAGGAGTAACCCCAGAGGGTTTAGCGAGGTACAAAGGGCCCCAGTCGTGTACCTTGGTGACAAACTTGCGGAGCCTAGTCTTACTACTAACTGCTCTTCCGCTACCTTACTTCAGACAAAGACTTTGCGGTTCCGCGCCTCATTTTATTCGTGAATGTAATTCATACAGGTAGCTAAGTCACGGCGATGTCTATACAGGAGGGTTGTATCTGATGATACTGAGAAAGTTATGTAATAAAGTATTTACTTCCGTACTATCTTGACATGATTTAGCATTACAAACGCCCTCTGGTTTGTAGTATACTACCATACTTGTGGGAAGTAATCGTGAATCAACCCATGACATATCGATATGTTTCAAACTGACGCCAGTCTTGAGCTACCTCGATCATTCTCACTCATTTCTTGCATTGCCATCCAGTAAATTTATGAGCGCAGCTGCATGTCTTCACACAAGGATGACTGTGACGTACCATCGCTGATGTTGAGCTAGTATGGAGATACCATGACAAGTTGTAGCTGATACCAGTGACTATACACTCACAGTCAAGATGTTATGTCTACACTTTAGACATAACATCAACCACTTCCTGTACTCTCACTCACCATAGCCGAACTCCCCGCCGTGGTAACGCTCTGGAAGACTCCTCATTTGTGAGTGGATTACCTATATTGGAAAAGTACATGATGGCGCTCTAAGAAGGTGTCTACTGGATTCCCATAATGCCTTGGTAACCTCATAATCAGCTATCTACTGACGAATTGTTCCCATCTGTCAACATTCTACTCGCAGTTTTCATGAACGAACTGCCTTTCCACTCTGATTGAGACTCCAGAGCATAGTGTCTGGGAATCGAAATTTTCATGAACAAGCCTGTTACGTCTCATCGTACATATGCTTCCTCGACCTAGTCTGGCACCTGTCGTCGACTTTGTACATGTGTTTGAATCCTTTCGCATTGACGCTACTTCTTACTTCGAAGCCCTATGCTCTCAGGAGTCTCATTCTACTGAGTCTTTTAGTAGTTGAAGTCAACAACGCAGCGTCCTGCAACCTTCCCACTCTTCAATTTCTCGACCGCTTCCGGAAGTCTGTCAATAGAAAATCTTTCGTAGATTGGTTTGAGGAGCCCCTGGGAGATGTTGTCAGTTACTTAGCATATACAAGGACTTCTGCCTCTGCACTTCAGCGGATGTAGCTACCCACCCGTTTGGCGAAGTCCAGAGCGCAATTGGTATCGTTCATAGATCCCACCATTGTCCCCTTGATCTCGAAGTTCCTAGCTGCGAAGAAAAAGGGGTCCGCGCCGAGTGTCACTGTATTCGCTGGTGGCAGCCCAATGCACATTACTTTGGCACCAACGCGCGTGCCGACCAGGCTGATCGAGGTTGGATATGCTTGAGGCGCTGTGACAAATACTGCATGTGGACCGATACCATCGGCAATGCGGACAACGTCTGCGACAATGTCGGTTGAGGTTCGAAAGTTAATGAATGCTTCAGCACCCATTTCCAAGCTCAAGGCTCGTTTCTCAGCTCCGGAGTCGATCACAATTGGTCGAAGACCCATGGCTTTGGCAAGTTGCACCCCTGCTCCTTTCAGTTATCAAGGGCGTTGAGCATGCGCCGTTCGATTTTACCTTGGATACCAACTCCTCCTCCACCTCCAGGGAAGCATGCCCAATTTCCCGCCTTCAGCTCGGCTTCGACTAGAGATCGATAGATGGTGGAGGCCGAGCACATGACTGGTCCTGCGATGTAGTCATCGACACCATCCGGGATGCGGGTTGTATATTTAGCTGGAGAGACAATGTATTGTTGGTAGGTACCAGTCTGGTTATTTCTCGTCTCAGAGCCGTTTATTATGACTTCGAGCAGCTTCGCTTACCTTGGCAAGGCCGGTATAGATTGCTTTGGCGCAATAGTTTTCCTTTCCAGAATAACAAAGATCACAATTGCCACAGACATCCCAAAGCGGCTTCACACCACCACGATCACCAACCTTCCACCCTTTGACGTTTTCTCCGAGTTTGACAACCACTCCTGCACCTTCGTGTCCAGGAGAACGCACCCCAAACTCGGACATTTTAGGCATAGACCAGTCATGCATAGCATAGTGCAGGTCAGTGAAGCATAGCCCCGTAACATTCAGCCTCAAGAGGAGCTCGTCAGGACCTATACAGAGTTAGATGGTCATCCTCGCGTGGAGACATCCAGTTGTTTTGGCTTACCTGGTTCTGGTACAGGGACCAGTTCTACTTTGATTTGGAAATCTGGACCTTCGTTGACGACTACCCCTGCCTTGCACACCTTGGGGATATCAAACTCGGTACTCATCCTTGATATTGAAGGGACACCTCAGAGTTGGTGAGGACTTGAAAATGGGCTGAATGCTCTTCTTTTCAGATTGCACCTTCTATTTTCCTAGAGTCTCAAAATGACTTCTGTGGTTGTAACTTCTGTGACAGCGGCCTGTACTATATTTAAAGGAAGGTGTTGAGACTAATGATAGTACATTGTGACGCATTTCTGCTCCAAGCTCGGGGTGTTAGTTCATCGTAACTATCCTGTCATATGGTGCGGCACTGTATCACCTGATTGATCTTGCTGTGGTTGTCGTGGCATCCTTTCTCAGCCGAACTTCCCATCATGGGATTTTTCCTGCGGTAGCGGGTTCTCATGAGCTGAGTTGAAGGCGGGTCCTCTATTTGGTGCTGTCTGGACCAGGACGTCAGATTTCTTATCGCCGTCATCCCGTTCACGCCTTTGGGGCAAATGGAATGCCCAATGATGGCAACCCAAGGGCTGTTGGTGTCCTTCAGAATGCAGGTGGAGAGTATAGATTCATTTCTCATTAGTCATGGTCATGGTACCAGTGGCATTTCACCATGAGTACCGCGTATTGAATACACTTTGTGGAGACTGACTACACAAGCTGTATTTATGAAGTGGAGAGCTGCCATTGATCCACTTCCAGGTGGGGATTCTATTCCTGATGTAGTAATTTGTCAACCTCGACCGATTGGCCAAACGTCCACTACAAGATCCATAATACTCGAACGACGGCACAGTGGTCATGATCAATGCATTTCTCACCACCGAGGTTCATCGGACGATATGTGTATATAGTATGCTCAGAGTATCATCTCATGAGAACCGAGCCTCTCCCTCATCCCGTAGTTGTTACGGAACTGGTTTCTGCAAGCAGCAAGTGTCTTCCCAAGATTTGTGGTCCTTGTCAAATCTTCCTGTTTATTCGACCTCAGATTCAAACCGCAATATGGGCGAGCGTACCCCTCCAATTTCACCGAGCCAACTCTCGGGTGAGCAAGATGCACTTTACAAAGACATCAGATCTGTGATTTCGTCCCATCTTCCTGGGTTTCAAACTGAGACAGAGCAAGGAGCGTTGATCGGTCCCTGGAGCGTCTGGCTGCAAGAACCTGGTCTTGGAGCCGTCGTGTGGAATCTGGTCAAGATGATCACAACCAACGCCAAACTCCCCGAGAGTGTTCGTCAAGTTGCGATCCTAAAAGTAGGGTCCCATTTCAAAGCTGCATACGAGTTGTATGCCCATTCTGGCGTCTCTAGTAGCCTCGGTATTGAAAAGGATCAAGTCGAATCACTTGCCTCGGGCAATCGACCTGCAGATCTCGGAGCTCCTGAAGCGGTAGCATATGATGTAGCTTCATCACTTCTGGCTGGCGGTGTCCTTCCGGACGACATCTACTCCATGGCGGTCAAGATCCTCGGTCAACAAGGAACTTTCGAACTTGTCCACCTCATTGGAGTCTACTGCCTTGTCTCTATGACACTGAATGGCTATGACGTGAGAACTCCGGTGCCGGTTTCAGTGCAGGGAAGCCCGAAACCAAGTCGAGAGAGCGAATACAGGTCTATCAATGCCGTGACAGGAGAATTGGAGAAGGTCTTCCCGGAAACCACTGATGAAGAAGTTCGGGTAGCACTAGACAAGGCCCACTATGTCTATGAAACCGACTGGCGCCATCGCTCTGCGGGAGAGAGGGCTAAAATCATTGGGAGAGCTGCTCAGATTCTTCGACAAAAGGCTGAAGAGTATTCCCGGCTGATCACATATGAGATGGGCAAGCTTATCGACCAGTCACGATACGAAGTGAATCTCACAATTGACATCCTGGAGTATTATGCCACTCATGGGGAGACATTCCTCAAACCAAAGCCTATTGATGAAGCGCCAGGTGCAGTCATGGTTACTGAGCCCATTGGGGTCCTCCTAGCTGTTGAACCATGGAACTTCCCGTACTACCAGCTAGTGCGTGTCGCTGCACCGCAGCTCGTGGCTGGAAATGTGCTGATTGTCAAGCATGCACCCAGCGTGCCTCAGTGTGCCCTTGCATTCGCTCGTCTTTTTGCGGAAGCCGGAGCTCCTGAAGGAGTTTACACCAACCTCTTCTGTACTATCCCTCAGGTCAATTCTCTCATCGATGATTTCCGCATCAGAGGAGTTACATTGACAGGCAGTGAGAGAGCTGGTGCGTCAGTTGCTGAGCGAGCAGGTCGCAATTTGAAAAAGGTCGTTCTGGAGCTCGGAGGAAGCGACCCTCTGATAGTACTACCAGATGCCGACCTCGAAAGTACTATTAAACAAGGTGTGGCTGGACGTATGATCTGTATGGGTCAGGCATGTGTTTCGTCCAAACGATTCATTGTTGTCGGGCGTGATCGTGGTAAAGTATTCCTCGAAGGCATGGTTAAGCGATTCGAGGAGCTTGAGGCTGGTGATCCAGCGGATAGCGATACTTCTTTGGGACCCCTTTTTGCAGAACGAGCTCTCCGAGGTCTATTGGCCCAGATTGAAAAGGCCAAGGCCCATGGAGCTCGAATTGCCACAGGAGGGAAGAGGATCAATCGCACTGGGTATTACCTTGAACCAACAATCATCACTGATATCTCCCCCAGCAATCCATTGTTTCAGGAGGAAACATTTGGTCCTGTGGCATCATTCTATGTGACTGATACTGAAGAGGAGGCAATCAAGCTCGCCAACTCTACAAAATTCGGACTCGGCGCCAGTGTGTTCGGTGAGACCAAACATGCTCAGGAAGTCGCCTCCAAGATCGAGTCAGGCATGGTGTTTGTCAATTCCTGTGCATATACAGGTCCTGAGGTCCCATTTGGAGGAATTAAGAACTCTGGGTTCGGGCGAGAGCTTTCAGAATTGGGCATTGGTGAGTTTGTCAATCGCAAGCTCATTCGGACCGCCCTTTGAAGATTCTGCTCAGAGGTGCCTCGTCTGGAGCACAACGAGAAACTAGTTTCATGTTTCATGATTCCCTTACGCATTGTTTGAATGCCAGTCACGATGTAGACTAGTAGATCATCAGAATCTTTGAAAGAGACTCATCCAAAACTGTTTGGAAGATGCAGAGACTCATCATCACATACATGTTCTTGGTATCATTTGTTTCTGTGACCAGTTGCTAGTCTGAGGCAAGATATCCCGTTGTCGAAAACCATCTCCATAGGAATCATGCACCTGGCTGGCAGCATGCTGATCTTGCTTCTATGCCTGACGATCTTCCGGACTGCGGCCATGGAGGTTATATCGGAGTAGAAGCCAAATCCACGACTGAACCTTTCCACTAGAATCAGGGGCGAATTTGCCAATCTATTCTCAGACGTGAAGTAGTCATTAGACAGCCACATATCATTAGAAAGGTTAATAATACTTCTTCAGCGTAGAACGGGGATTGAAAGCTTGGGAACACAGTACTTCCGGTGCAACAGAGTCGGACTGTAGGCAGATGCGTCCAAATCTGTGATCTCTGCCACGCGCAGATAGATTCCTGCGCACAGCAGCAAGTTGATCGAAAAAGACATTTCGAAAGGCCATATCAGTTACTTTGGTTGAAGATCTCGCTCCCACTCTATCAGTGAATGGTTGGTTGCAATGAATCTCTTCAGAATTGTTTTCAAGTGATCCCAGTGGCACATCTCCGGATATCTGTGTTTCATTTTCTCAACGAGATCAACTCCCCTGGGTTCCAGAACTGCAACGTTCTTCCATGTCTCCATTACAAGCATTGATGTGAAGAATAGAAGTTCCCGTTCGGCGACGGTATAGGGGCCATATGATAGTAATAGAGTTGTAGCTTCTTCTCGACAGCACCGGAAAAACGATGAAGTCTGGCACAAAGGCTTGTAGTACATGGTTGCCATCGACATATAGTACGCCAAGCAGAAACATCGTTCAAGTGGCGCGACAGATGTGTCCAGCCGCTGCAGAATCAGTCGAATTCGATTGATTTCAGTATCAAGGCTCCGCCGCGACGATTGAAGTGGCTGGTTCTTCATGAGACTGGTTATCCACGATGCTGTCCACACTAACGACTTTGCAAGTTCGATAGAAAGACCTCGACCTTCTGAAGCGATGGCTCGAAACCCTTCTGGAAGCACGGCGATAACTTCGGATATACCTAGAGGAAATGGGGTGGACGAATAATGCAGTTCAAGTGTTTCGGAGGACATCGTGTGCCATGCACCGAATGGCATTGGTTCGCCCATCAGGTCAAGTAGCAGATCATGTCTGACAAGTTAGACGGTGTCCCCGGCTAGCGGCCTGAACGCGGACTTACTTATCTTTGACAACCTTGAGGTATTGGTTCGATTGGTGCCGGACATCTTTGCCTTGTAGGACTGCTTCAAGTCCCTTTCGATGTATCGTGAGTGCTTTGATGTCACCCATCAATGCCTGGTACAAGATTAGAGAGCTTTCACGACTATGTATCGAAAGGCACACATCGGTCTGCAAGAGACATATCACCATGAGCACCACATCATCCCGCACATTCTCATGATTCATTCTTTGTCTGAGTCTCGAGATCGCTTGTAGGCGGTAATACCGAGCGCTATCAAGCAAGTATTGGCTGGGAAACTGCGTCCAAAACCATGTGAGACTCATGGATATAATTGCAGGATAAACCTCCTTAACATCGATATTTGCTAGAACCCCTGCTGCATGGGGCGTGGCGCCATCTAGCATCACTTCCACTGGACAGGTGAATAGTGGATAGACTTGTAGAACTGGTAACTCATTATCAGTCCGATAGCCTTGAGTCCTCAATGGAATTGTCGAACTTACACTGGAACAAATGAATGCTGCTCGATATCTGACCAGGGATCTTGTGGGGAATTCCGGCGACAAATTCATTGTGGGCATCTCTTGACTGAATAGCTCGTGAGCTTCCTGACCGGATCTCCTTCATCTGCCGTGATGTATTTGTCCAAAAAGCTGAGTTGTGGAGAGGGATTTGTCGCTCGATTGTCAGTGGTTGTGTCTTCCTGCGCCATAGTCGAGACACATGCGACGAGACCAAGTGGCGAGCCCTCGTACTCTTCATCTCATCGGGAGTTCCAAATGTAACGAAGTTGAACTGTTTCGCTTTCCCCTTTTGACCCATAGTGTTGTGGATTGCGAGGATGTTGACTGTCTAAGTCACCGAAAGATAGTTTCTGCTGGTGCTTTAGCTGGCCTGAAATCTCGGCTGGTATATCTGATCTCCTTAGAGCATGTGCGGAGTACTTGCCTGTCGTATGCCTGTACATAGTAGGAGTCGAAGACTGTTCTCGTTCTCTTATATTGCAACAGTACTTTGGTGTGAAGCAGGTAATGCTAATCATATATTGTCACGAGAATAACCCAACGAAGGGATATGCAACGATTCAAAAGGGCCTCAAGAGGGACCCGCCGCTGCTTGCACGTTAGCCCAGTGCGTACAGAGTACAAAGCACTCCATTCTATTACAAGCGCAGTACTAGCGCGACTGTGTCATTACAAGAGAGAAAAAGTCGTTACCGTACTCTGTCCCTTGTGCTTCAGGCCATTTCCTGATCCGCCCGCAAAGTCTCCTGCCGCCAACGACGGTAGTATCATCTCTGTGATTTAGGAGATGCTGTCCCTTCAGCACTCAGGAAGTGTGCCCGAATACATTAGTCCCCACGTCACATCAGCAGCACATTGGATGAGACCGAAAACTAGGAGCATGTTCATCATACCTTGCGTTGTACTGGGCTCTCGCAGAAAGTAGAGTTGGCTGATTGAGTGCACGCAGCTTGAGCGAAATCCTGACAAACCATTGTTCTCCCGGCAGAGCAAATACACTCGAATGAGACGCGAAGGCCTGGACAAATCCTTGCACAGAGGAAAGACGGCATGGAGCGGCGCCCGTAGGATAATGTGAGCGATTACCTGAACCCCCGGGCGGACCAATGATGCTGCCACTTATCCATGATGCTTGAACACTTCAACAGGTCTTAGTGAAGATCAATTCGTGCTGGCAATGCCACGATAAACACCGTTCTGGCCGGTCTCGGTTCCCTTAGCAAGCACCCCCTGCATGTCAGTTTCTTTCTTTATATTCATCCTAAGAGCACTTTCGCGGGATATAGCGGTGCCAGTGACCGGAGTTTGGGACAGCACCTTCTGACTGATGCAGGTTTTTGGGATAGAGGATCATGGGTGTTAGTTTTCAGGATCTCGATAATATTTCTTGCTTCCAGTATTGCATGTTTCCGGAGGAGATCGAGCTTAGCTTCCGACTTGAAGACCTGGAGGTTCCTGAATTTAATTTAACGCTGCCTCCCCAAAGCCTCGTCAGCAGAACAGCTATCCACAGAATGTCATCAATGTCAGATTGTAGGGGCTGTCACAGTCATTGTCCGAACTTTGGCACCTCCGCCACGCGCCTCCCTCGTCGATAGAAATTGAATGCAGCAGACTATCTCTTGAAAAATAAATCACTGCAACAATTTGGCGGCTGGAATGTCTGGGCATATCACCTCCAGCAACGGAGCAATGTTGGAGTACGGAGCACGGAGCGTGTGCCTTTGAATGATATACTCCCCGCCGTTTGGCACGCTGATTCTCAAGCTAGCCATAACTAGATTAGGCATTCAACCATTGTCTAGAGCGGCGGATATTCTTTGGCTCCTTTAGGCATTCAGCCTGGCTGCGGAGGCTTCGCTGTGGGTGCGCTACAATGAAAAGCAGTAGCACCAACGTTTCCAGTTTCACCTGTTCCATCATCGAGCGGGGGTTTCCAAATATATAGCCCAACCTCAACTTCGAGCCATGGACTCCTACGGCTCGAAGCCAAGAAGGATTCGTCACCGCCGCAACAACTGCGATTCGGAACATACGCACGGACAGTGTCCGCATTGGCGATGACGTCCACCATCTCACCACGAACGCTTTAAAGTGATGGCAAGGACGCTGAGTATCGCAGCCATGGACAACTACTTCCACAAACCCATCCTGCAGCAGGGTCTTGCAACAGAGTCGAATCTCCTGACAACAGTCGCCTCTGAACCTCGTTCAAGATGCGTTTCCACGGACTGCTCCCTATGCTCTTTGCCATCACACCTACTCTAGCCATTCCTCCCCCGGACTTTGGGTTTCCAGAAGCACCAAATGACACAGCCCTTGCGGTCACCTACCAGAACAATGGGAACACAATTCTTGTGACAGAAGCGGAACTGTTCGGGGTTGATAGTGAGTATTTGCTTGTCCTTTGTGCTATGGCAAAGCTGATCGGGCGCAGTCCCCTCCCAACAACCCACAGTGGCTCTTGAGACGTCCAAGTTCCAGTCTCTTTCCAGCTACAATGGATCTTACGTCCTTCTCATGGTTGATCCTGACGCAAGATATCCTCAAAATCCAACGTCCCGATTCATTTTGCACTGGCTGCAGACCGATATGACAGCGGCACCGCTGGCAGCTGATGGAACCAGCCAACTCATCAATTCGACCCAGCCGCGAGCACCCTACCGAAACCCATCTCCTCCGACGAACTCCTCTGCCCACCGCTACATCCTGTATACCTTCTTTCAGCATGAAAACTTCACGTTCCCACCTGCATTCGAGGGATATAACGCTACAAATAGGACCAATTTCAACTTGACACTATTTCTGGACGAGTCGAATTTGGGTCGAATACCGGCTGCTGCTATGTATTTCTTCGTCAGTAATCAGACTCAGGTTCCTCCAGATTTCACTGCTGCTGCAGGGGCCACATATCCTGGCGGAAATGGCGACATGATAACAGCTGGTCCGGGTCCAACCATTACACCTTCCTCGACGCCTGCCAGCGCTTCGGCCTCCACTTCCACAACAGGCTCCGGTAGCTCTGAATCGGGTGCCGGGTCCGAAACAGCTTCTGCCACAGGGTCTGTCGCCTCAGCGTCCCCCACAGGTGGTGCGGCTGTTCACCAAACAGCTACTCCCGGCATTCTTTTATTAGCATGCCTTATGGCTCTGTTGAGCATGACTTGAAAAGCGCACGCTACCATGACATCTAATGAAACCCCAAGCACATGGGGAATGGCTCTGGTGCCAGCCTTATCACGAAATTCTACTATCCCTAAACGTTGACCGATCCACGTATCTGCTATGTTTAGGACTGAATTACTATATGAATCGCTCTCTAAATTTCCACGTTCATTACCTATTCTAGTCACCACTCTGATTTCTTTAACCAAATTCTTTCAAGCTCCTGCTTTTATGATGACTTAACGCTCAGCCTGGCACCTTTGAACCTATCATTGGAACCAGGAAAGTGGGACACATCGTCATTAAGTCACCTCCCCTTCGATGCTCTACACCTCAGCTGAGCATAAAACGCAGTTGTAGCTTCAGCAGAAGCAAACTACTGGAATACAGTGGTGAGACTGCAGCTGCGAAACGACTTGTAAGGTCACTCACCTGGACCACGTCCAGAAAGTTGCTTGCAACTCCTGGCGCCCAGCAGTTCGTGGAATCAACCAATCACTACATCGTGGATGAGGAATTGTTGCCTCGTGCCCTCGTGCCGCCCACATTTGAGCTGCTAGTCCTTTCAAGTCTTAAGCGATACGAAGCTTCTGCCAATTGAGCTCCTTATCCTCGCCAGCAGCCATGTCAGCCTCAGTACAGGTTAGATCCCAACCAGCTTCTGCAGGCGTCCATGAACTATTCACGCGCATTCCGAGGTGATCCAGAATTACCCCTTGAAAGGCAACTCGCTCTTGGGGCCAAAGATATCCCTACCAATGGCCACCTTGACCGCTTTGCCCATCTGTGATATCGGCCGGTTCACAACATGGCTGTTACACAGGAACTCAGCTGCCAAATCAGCTGAAGCCCACTCTCAGGCACCCTCTGGAGGAGGATGTGGCTGGCGAATACGAATAACACTTCAGCTCACAAGACATTAGAAGACCGCAATCAAGTATATGAAGGCTCACACTGCCCAGGATTTCGGGATTCAATTATGACTATCACCCAGCAGTCTTGTGTTCATAATGGCTTCTGCGATTGAGGAACAGCATATCTTCACTGATGCCATAGCATTCCAACCCCAAGTAGTCCAGTCAAGCGTCCGAGGCTTAGTGACACCAACCGCCATTACTACTACAGCCAAACCGCTAACTCTCGATCAAGTGCACAAGGTCATTCGACTGTATGGCCCTATCCTCAATCTTCATCCAGAGGAGAAGTATTTCAATACGTCTGTCGAAGATTTCTTGAGCCACTGTACGCTCGTCGACAAAAAGACAAAGACACGATTGCCGTCACCAAAAATCGGCCAGCTCCCTCAGAAGGGTGACGACAACCAATTCTATCTCGAACTTTCAGCAGATGGCAAGAAAGGGGACTTTCCGATCGCGAAAGCATATGTGCGTGCTTTTTGGCAATCCGGCATGCCTTACACGGATTTGCAATTCTGGTTCTTCAACGCCTATAATGGACCGGGAACCCTTCATATTGACGGGCTCGTGATGGATAGCATCACAAGCTCGGGTGACATTAACGTCAGTCCTCTCGGTGAGCATGTGGGAGACTGGGAGATGTGCATGGTCCGCGTCGACAACTCGACGCTGAAGATCATCAGTATCTGGCTTTCCCAACATTCCAAGGGTCAATTCTTCACGGGAGACCAGCTTGACCGAGCTTTCAAATTCCAAGGAACTCAACCGATTATCTTCTCGTCCCGCAATGGCCATGCCAACTTTGCCCGTGCAGGGTCTAATCCGACCGAGTCCAAGAAGATTGGGGGTATACCAGCCGGGTTCGACTTCTTCGTTCGCAACGACACGGCCATCAGTGAGCTCAAGATGGACTGCTCCAAGAAGTATGACCTCGTTTCAGCCGACTGGCTGGGGGTGAAATCTCCCGCTTGGGTGACATACCCATTTCGCTGGGGACCAGAGGGAACCTCGACTCGTCTCAGCGCGGGGGCGGTGGCTGATATCGTCAAAGCGGCTGCCGGAGACGAGCTGTCAAAATTTCTCCCCGTTGCTGCCGGGACAGTTCTGGCTGGAGAGATTCTTCCGCATTTTGTGAAGGGTGACATCAATGGTCCTACTCCACCGAGTCGGCACGGGAGTTGGATGGGTATCTACCCTGTCTACTAGGTTTTCAGTGGGATTTCGTACTTTGACGCAAATGAGAAATGCATCAGAACCGTGCGCGCTTTACGTTTGTGAACGCTTCGTAGCATGACTCGCTCTTTTTTGGTGTAGAATCGTTTGTGTCTCTACCTGAACACTCTTGTCAACGGGGGATAGGCGACATCGTGATTGACAAGACCCATCCTACCAAGCCTTTGAGCCGCCTCATAAAGAGTTTACGGCTTCCAGCGGAATGCTGATTGTTGCCAGTCCAGATCCTGCAATTCTTTGATAGACAGCTCGCTGGCATCTGAGGTTTTTTGGGTAGACCGTTTGATGTTGTCGCGTTGCATCCATATCAGCAGCAGAACAGAGAGCACTAGACAGCTCGAGATGGCGGCGAGGTTCAGCCCATTTCCGATGGGATAATTGGGGCCATCGAAAGGAAGGTAGGACCACGTGGCAATCAATCCTCCGATATTCCCTAGCAAGACGTTGGTCCCAATCGCAGCAGACCTCGAGGTATCCGAGATGACATTCGCCGATATCAAAGCGTTGCTTAAGGCGCCAAACAAAAATGCAGAGCTTGCCACCAGGAAGGTTGCACCGTAGCGAGCATTTGCGTTCTGTGTGCCGAGGAATATGGCAAATCCGCAAATAGTGAATGGGAGAGCGACAATATAGTAAACAAGGTAGCGGCCAGTCTTCCAGCTCAGATATGGCAGGATGAGGACGAAGGACGCACCCACGATATAGGGCGGTACCGTGTGCAGCTGCTGTGATACCACGCTGTGGTGAGGATAGATGCTTTTGACAATAGTCGGTGCAAAGAAGGCCAGACCCTGGGCGGTGATATTCCCGAGGCCGAAGATGATTGCGGTCGTCAACGTCACAGGGCTGAGAATCCCCCTGAGCAGTTTGTCCTTGTTGAATCCGTCGAGCACTGATGTGCTTGACGGCCGCTCCGACTTCACTCGTGCTATAGCAAGGTCCTTTTCCTCAACTGTAAGCCATCTTGCCGTCTCAGGTCGATCAGTCAGCGTAAAGAAGGACAGTAGACCTAGACCGCAGGTAATGGTTCCCTCGAGGACAAAGATCATCCTCCAGGTCCGTAGTGAGCCCATGTGGTCGAGGGTCAAGATTGCCGATGCGAGTAGGCCTCCAAAGGCCCCCGCAAGAGGTGTCATTACGATGTACAACGAAAGGCGAAAGACAAGCTCCCTCCGCCGATACCACCTGGAAAGATAGTATGCGATTCCGGGAAGCATTCCAGCTTCACAGACCCCAAGCAGGAACCGGACAGAGGACACGCTCTTGATGTTGGTGCAGAAGCCAGTGAGGAGCGAGAAGACGCCAAACCCAAAAGTTGTCGTTGGAAGAAACCACCCCGGGCCAAAAAACTTGCATGCGAAGCTTGCGGGCATTTCGAAAACCACATAACCAACATAGAAAACCGTCAGCACTTTATTATAATCGTAGTCGTGCAGACCAAGGTCGTCCTCGAACCCGGCGAGTCTCGCGTTGCCTTATCGACGTTAATTTCGATGGTTCAAAGAGGGATTGCAGTGCTCACCAATATTGGCCCGGTCGATAAAGCAGAAAAGGTATAGAATGGCGACTGTAGGGACCACGTAAAAGTCAATCTTTGTCCTGAGTCTGGCTTCGGCCTCCGCGTCTAGGACAACCAACGGATTGCCATGTCTTCACAGGTCAGTCAACCTAATGTGCTCGGCCTGTAGATGGATATGCTTGCCTGTCTGTGGCTGTGTGGCCCTTTTCTGCTATCTCGTGCACAGTTCCGCGCCTCAAGTCTCTGTTACCATCGTCCTGACGGTCTTGGACCGGATAGAAGATATCGGATTGGACTTCAACCTCTGGTGCCTTTTCCACGTCGAAGGACGCCATGTTGAGTGCAGAATTGGAAGCGATGTACGAGGCGGTGCTTGGACTGACAGATCCATTGCTGGCAAGGAGGTTGGCAGCAATTTATGAGAAAGTCGGTTCCCAGCGAATTGATCGTGTCCCTGATACATTCCGGCACCGAGTGACACGTGTTTAGAAGTCAAGCCAAATGTACGTTGATGGCGTCGAGGTTTGACAGTATCGATGACAAAAGGACCTTGAGTAGCCGAAGTCGAGCGGTCAAGGTGCGTCGGAATTCGCGAGCTGAGCTGCAGCCGATGTCAAAGCTGCCCATTCACAACAAGTTGCTGTGTTCTTGACTGTCTCCGCATTCTGCTGGGTATCGACGCCAGCTGTCTAGTTACTGAGTAGTGGAACAGGTTTGACCGCCCGAGGCATGGCTTGACCCTTTGTTTTAGGTCAACGGTCAACCTTCCACCACGGCCGATTAGCGACGCGACCCGCTTCGCCTCCAGAAACAGACATCCGACAATGTCTTTCTGGGAATAGCAAGTGCCTCGCATCCTTTGGAACAAACTATCTGGCTCAATATAGTAGGGATATTCCTGACTTTACGTCAAGTTGAAGGCTTCTCCGACAGAAGCGGCTCAGCCGCAGCCCGTGCCAGCGAAAATGCATTCAATCATAGCTTAACACGATGCGAAGGGATCAACAAGTTCTGAAATGGCTACCTGACCATTGAGTCAAGCGAAATCTGGACTCGGGGAAGGGGCTTTTTGTGTTCAGTCGATGGTGGAAAGATGCGTCCAGTAACTCACCATGCTGCTCGAGGAGGCCGACGTCGTCAAACATATATTGTCCAAGAACCCTTTGAGAGGAACAAAACGCCCATCTCCAACATTTACCAGATATTTCTCGCCCTAGGCCCCAGCAGATTCTCTCTTCAAACATGGTTGTCGGCAACGATGAATATTCCATCTGGAGAACAGCACCTGATGCCCTCCGATTGTGCTACCAGCACTTCCTCTGGCGCGAAGTCAACAAGAGCAACATCCATCCCTCGATCGACCTGAGTGACAAGCCGGATCTACGCATTGCTGAGCTTGCTGCTGGTCACTGTCTGTGGGCTATGCAGGTTGCAGAAGAATACCCTCATGCTCAGGTAGAGGCTTCAGACATCAGCTTGGGCCTCGCACCTCCACAGCCTGACCTACCGCCAAATCTATCGGTGACCAAATGGAGTTTCTTCGACCCGGTTCCTGAGCACTGGAAAGGCGCATTCGATCTTGTCCATATCAGACTTGTCATCCAGGTCTTCGGGGGGAACCAGGATCCTCGAGCCGTGTTGGAGAAGTTTGTGTCAATGCTGAGTATGGGTTTTTTTTTTCCACCTGAAGAATGTGTGAAATGTACTGAACAGACGATCTTAGAACCGGGAGGCTATCTCCAGTGGGACGAGTATGACTACTTTGACGCAGACAAGAACAATGTCTACTCGGCCAACGATCCCACCCGCATTCCCAACCCAGAGGTCACACACAACTCCTCGACCCAGCTTTGGAAGATCATGATGAACACATTCCAGTGGCCAACGGAGTACTTTGATCGGTTACCAAGATATTACGCCGATGCAGGATTGGAGAATGTGGTGGCTGACAGCAAACGGCCACCCCCTTCGATCTTCCGTGGCTTCTATGAACATTGGTATGCCCTGGTGGCGCAGTTGATTCCCGTGCTGGAAGCGAGGGATATGGAGGCAAGTCAAGACGCACGACAGCTTCTGGCCCAGATGAAGAAAGATGCCGTGGTCGATGGTGTTTACAGTGCACATATCACCAAGTTCATGGTCGGGAAAAAGCCTGAATCCAGTGGGTGAACTGAGGGAGAAGGCAGACTATTTGTCAATGACAAGAACTAATTGGAGTCATCGATGATGACAAGCTTCAGGCGAGACATGTATTTACCTCTTAGCGGCTGTCAACTTCAATGGATGGCCTAAATATCCCCTCCCCCCCCCCCCTCCGGTCAGTAAATGTGTTGCGTTCTCTCTCTTCTCTCCTCAAATGTCTGACAATTTTCCCTCAGAACAGTATCAAACTCACCGTGTAGTGTCGACGGAAGATTTGCTCAGCGTACAACGAGGGGATTATGGCAGGAATATCTCAGCTAATCTGCTCTTTACCATCGGGAGGGCCGTCACTGGCCCTCTACAATATCTGCTGATTTCTTCTCGCCCGCTGTCTCGTCTGGGTGTGTCTCCTCCGCCTACAGGAACAGCTGACATTACATGGTTTGGGAGGAAATGCAGACGCCTACCGTTCCTCGTGGCATTGACGCCTGCGACCCTTTCAGCCAAGCACATACTGTGGATAAACTTGATGGCCCGTGAGCACCTTACGATGAAATTCGCCACGTTTGCCATCGTCTCAGACTTCCTGTACGAAAGTATCAGTTCGCTGATTTTCACCACCGCATCCATCAATCCCATGTTCTCAGAATGGCCTTCAAGGCATAGAAGGGGAATCACTCCAAAGTATGCAAGACCGGCTTCTGGGCAATTATACTGCCAATGTCTTGTTTGGCTTCGGATATGGTCTTGCAACCGGAGGTCCGTGTACGCGTTGCAACGGCCGGAATGTATGTTTCAAACTTTGTCTTCAATGCCATGCAGGCCCTCGAGAAGTATTGCAAGAAGAGATACAAAGAACCATGGACACAGTATGCGCGTGAGGTGCCATGGCAGCTGTTACCCGGCATTTATTGAGACTCGTTCCCCCTCCCAAGGAACGAGGGTATCCTGCAATTCGTGTCGGCATACAGGACCTCACGTACTGTGGTAGAGACAGCAGTCTAGGATTGCAGAGACTTCGGCTATAGTCGTAGATTTGCGCAGGAGAAATGAAAATGGTTCCAAAGAAGAATAGGTTCCTGGTGAGCATTGCTCTATCCTTTTTTGAACAACAATCTCGATCGTTCTTTTTGCCGCCTACCTAAGCAACTTGCAAATGATCCGGGCTCTGCCCTGCTCCCCAGTTACTTTACTCACAGTGTCTTCGCTGAGACACGAAACGACGAGAGGCTGAGAGAAACGACGTAGCCGGTGGACTTCAAATCCACAGAAGGATATTTCATGGCAGAAGGTGGGTGTCTCGGGCCAAGTTCCGCCCTGCTCGATGGGCCAATTCCGAGGTGGAGACTTTTCCCCAGATCCCCGCAATCACCATGAATGGAATTGTCCCCAGTTTCACCCAAGGTGCTGGATTTGCCTCCAAGTTGTAGTATTGCATCTCAAGTGGCTTCCTTCAATAGCAACCGAGGGTGAATGCATGAGTTCATACCGACTGTCTAATTATCTTCTCGCGTCCTCGGAAGGACAGTTTGGGTGCACGATGATTCTCGACCAGGTTACTGATCGGCTCTCGCAACAAGTGTTATGGTACCTAGTTGGCGCACTTGGATGCCTTTGTGTCGTCCACTTCGCCGCCAATAGGTATGGCACAGGTATCAGCCACATCCCAGGACCAGCGCTTGCTTCCTTCACAGATCTGTGGAGGTGCTTTGTGGTCTGGGGCCGTCGACCCGAGCTCAAGCATATCCGGCTGCACGAGAAGTACGGCCCCTTGGTTCGGTTGGGCCCTCGAGTGGTGTCAGTGTCTGATCCAGCGGCTATTCCCATCATATATGCTCTGAATTCTGGCTTCATCAAATCTGGCTTCTATCCGGTCCAGCAAACAATAGCAAAAGGTCGCAGACTGTACACCATGTTCAGCACCACGGATGAGAAATTCCACGCTAAACTCAGAAGAGCGGTATCGAACGCGTATGCGATGAGTACCCTGGTTCAATTTGAACCCTTGGTTGATTCCACCACATTGGCATTTTTGGAACAGCTTGAGGAGAGGTTTGCAGACAAAACAGGTCCCCAAGGCATATGTGACTTCTCAAAATGGCTTCAGTTCTATGCATTCGATGTCATTGGTGAGCTCACATATTCCAAGCGGCTTGGGTTCGTGGATCGAGGTGTTGATATTGACGGTATCATCGGGAATCTGGAGTGGCTTCTCAACTACGCCGCCATAGTAGGTCCGTGCCTAAGTCAGAATGCAGAAATGTTAATCGTGGGTAACAGGTTGGACAAATCCCAATCTTGGATCGTGTATTTCTCAAGAACCCATTGCGATTGTTTGCAAGCCAAGTCGGACTCATAAGCTCAAACACCCCGGTGGCGACCTTTGCCAGGGACCGGATCGCCAGACGAGAAGGCGTTGAGCACGCCGAAGAAAAACCAGCAACCATATCTGGCAAAAAGGGAACAAGAAGAGACTTTTTGTCAAGGTTCACTGAAGCCCATCACAAGGATCCTGAGTTCATTACCCGGGAACGAGTTTTGGCGCTGACCGTCGCCAACATGTTTGCTGGTAGCGACACCACCGCAATCAGCTTGCGGGCAATCTTCTACTTCCTGTTAAGAAGCCCAGAAGACATGGATGGCTTGATGAAGGAGCTCTGGGCGCAACGGGAGAATGGGACATTCTCTGACCCCAACGACTTGGTCAACTGGAATGATGTGAGGGAATTGCCATATCTAAGTGCTGTGATCAAAGAAGCTCTCCGCTGCCACCCTGCTGCCGGACTTACGCTTGAACGAATCGTGCCTCGTCAAGGTGTCACCGTTTGTGGAAAATGGATTCCTGGTGGGACAATCGTCGGATGCAGTGCCTGGACTGTGCACAGAGACAGCCTGTTTGGACCGGACTCTGGAAAATTTCGCCCGAGGAGATGGCTCGAAGCATCGCCAGAGCAAAAAAGACAAATGGACAGTTCCCTTTTCACGTTTGGAGCAGGATCCCACACGTGTATTGGCAAGAACATCAGTTTTCTCGAAATGTACAAGCTTGTTCCAGCACTGCTAATGAGATTCGAGGTAAGGGAAACATCCTCCCTCTTTCTGACGGCCCCAGAGTTAACAGCTCTTTGCAGATTGAGTTCGCAGATCCCACAAAGCCGTGGAAAGTGCACAACGCATGGTTCGTCAAGCAGTCCGAGTTCAAGGTGTGCCTCCGACGACGGAGAAAGGGGCAGAATCCCATCTAAGAGTCAGGGAAGTTGCCGGAATATAGCTGTTGTCGCTCTGGCAAATGATGCTCTGTGTTTTTGGCTAGTTGGCCGTTCCCATTCGAGGACGGCCGCGCTAGGCATGCAGCCGGCGGTTGGAATCTTGGTAGAAAGCGATCGGCTGGAGTGGGACTAGCCGGGGCTCTTGTATGGTGGGTTTTCGATCTCATTGGGCCATCGGCACAGACTTTCCTTGACAACAAGCCGAGGAAGAGTGTGCCGCGGCCGGAGTATCAACTCAGAGCTTCGGCGAAAAGTGCTGGAACAAAGCGGCGGGCGGTGACAGTAGTGTTGCTATTATCAACACCTTGGATTCTTGATTCGGTTCAACACGATTTGACTCGTCTGAAAAGATAAGAGCTGCGACAAAAGCATTTGTATAGGCTTCCGCACCCAGTCAACTCAACCCAGCGCAAGTTCCGCGCGGAGAGCAGCCTGAGCTCCTTCTGACGTAAACTCGACCCCTCCTTAGTCTCCAAATCCTTTATCCATCTTCAAACTCATCGTATTTCCCCCCCACGACAAACTCCCATCAACCTCAATGACAGGTCGACACAGACTCGCTGCTCTCTCCAAACAGCTCTCATCCGCCTCCCAATACCTCTTCGGCTCCTCCAAAAGAAACATCGCCAATATGTCGCACACACAGTCCGCAGCATGCTGCAACACTCCAGCTGTGGTCGGACATGGCTACAAAGAGAAGGGAAACTATATCACCGTCAATGGGATGAAGACATACGCGACTGGACCTTCGTCTGCCACTCAGGGGGTTGTGATTGTCTTCGACATTTTCGGGTTCTTTCCTCAGACATTGCAGGGTGCCGACCTGATCGCTTACGCCGATAAGGATCACCAATATCAGGTCTACATGCCAGATTTCTTTGACGGCGAACCCGCCGACATTTCCTGGTACCCACCAGACACAGAAGAGAAGGGCAAGAAACTGGGCGAGTTTTTCCAGACCGCTGCTGCCCCTCCCAAGACAGTCGCGCGGCTCAACAAAGTGATGGAGGAGTTGCAGGCGAAGAACCCTGGTGTCAAAAGTTGGGGCGTCCTTGGATACTGCTGGGGCGGCAAGGTCAGTAGTACCATCTTTCTATCTGTCTGCCTCTTATTGCACTGTTACTAACAAACCACCAGATCGTCAACCTCGTATCTGGATCTAATACAGTTTTCAAGGCCGCTGTAGCTTGCCATCCGGCCATGGTCGACCCGAACGACGCACCGAACGTCGCTATTCCCATGCTTATGATTCCGTCCAAGGACGAAGATCAAGAGGCCGTGGACAAATACGAGGCCAATCTCAAGGTACCCCACCAGGTGGAATGGTTCAAGGATCATATTCACGGGTTCATGGCCGCGAGAAGTGACCTCTCGGATGAGGATGTGAAAGCAGCCTACGCAAAGGCTTACCGGATCGTGTTGGATTTCCTTCACAAACATCTTTGAAGTGTGAGATAATCGAGTGGTATTGTACGTAGATAGATTGCGAAGCAAAATAACGCAGACAAATAGCAAACCTTTGGGTGTGAAAAATACTATTCATATTGGGTGGGAATTACTAGACATTGTGTCCGCCCCCCGGGGCAACATGATTGTCCGCGAAGCGATCTCGTAGCGCACAATACATCACTGACCTTAGCGACACTATGTAAAGAATGATTATAGCATGAATGTCGTTTCTAGACACATTGAATCTTACAACTTGCTCAAGCACGCTATTCAGCAACGTAGGTATTGTTCAATCAGAATGTGGATAAACCTACGGCGCCAAGGTGCCGACCTTACCGGCGTCTGGCAACTAGCCTGACATGAATGTGATTGCCATGTTGTCTCTCTCGCCAAAAAAAAAGGATTGGAGCCTTTGAGCTGTTCGGGTAACATTTCCGGAAGTCTCCGATTTCATTCCTACTCCATTCAGTGCCGGCAGAGTTTGCCGAGACTCTGATAATGAACCACGCCCCCGATTCAAAGTGAAAGACGGGTTCCATGCACCACTGCCTCTTTCGAAAGCTCACGTTGTTGGTGGCGCCACACAAGCAGTTCGCAAGTAACGAAGAGAGATCCCGGCTCCTGTAGCTGGATTCTTCCCCTTCTTCAGACTGGGCTGGGATCATGATGGCTCTCCACTTCGGAACGTAAAAAGTGCATGATTTTTCTTTTCAAAAGCCACATTACCATGCCATAACCCGGCTACAGGCATCAAAGAGAATGTCCTTCCTTCATCAATGTTAATGGTCATGAGATACTCCCTCTCCAAAGATACAACTTGAGCTCTGTGGAAACGTTAAACATGGGTCGTCCAATCATCTTCTGGATGCACTCAGCGCTCGCGGGCTGGTGGTTGAGCCCTCCACAAAAAGAATGCAACAATGATGGTGATTTTCAAGGCTGCAGCCGTCCACAACGCACCGGCGAGTCCGACTGAGCTATGTGACCATAGTCCCCCGAGGATGGCGCCGAACAGCAGCAATAGGGGTGCCGCTGCCCTCCGGTTCCTCTCTGCATTCTGAAAAAATCCCGCCATGATCAGGGGATCCGAGAACAGGTCGCAGTAGATGCTCGTCAGAACGACACTGGTGAGGCTATTGTATTGTAGAGCCCGGCTAGTCACAGCTTGTCCGCTGCTTTGGAATGCAACCAATGAAATGGGCACGATCACTTCCCACCGAAGGTCGTTTCCTTGCCTGCTATCGACCATCACAACAACAGCAGCTACCACGACCAGCAGCATCTGGATGGCGAACGAGGCAAGCAGAACCCAACGTCGCTTGGGCGAGAAGTAGCGGTGGAAGCGACTGAAGCAGAAGGAACCAAAGCAAAAGAAGGCGATCGACGTAAGTGACCTAATCCATCGCGTTCCTTTGGTCGGCTCAACCAAGCCCAGTCCAAGGTAGACGGTGTTGCCAGTTTGCATGCTCACAAAGGAACCCCAGATGAACACTGCTGAGCTGTCGAGGAGCCCGGTGATGACATACGACAGCAACAGCAGCAGATCAGCCCAGCGCCTGTCGATATCCTCTTTCAAATATTCTCGAAAGCGAGCCAGAGACCGAGGGGAGTCCCTCTTAACAAGTAGAGGACCACTCTCATCTTCAGAACCTTGGTGTGGCTGACTCGCAGCAGTTGAGTCCCCGTTGATGGCCCCGTAGCCATTCGCTGTGGTCATTATTGCGTGTGAGCACTAACAGATGCTCCTTCTGGCGTGATTTGTGGTCTGGTCTGTCTGGCTATATGGGGAGTGGGAGCATAGGGAGGAAGTAAAATGTCTTGGGACGTGAGAGCAAGTGGACTTTGCTGCTGACAAGGAGGACGAAACGATCAGCCGGGCGACGGGGGGAGAAGTCGAGGTCCTTTTCTCGTTTTGCGGAGTTCTGAACCGCGCGTCATGGGCATGGTTGATCAATATGGATGATAGTGGTGAAAGTGGGTTGAGTGGTAGTTGGTGGCTGGAATCCCCTTCCCCGTCGTCCCCGTAAGTTTTTTGGCCCGTTGAAACAATGTGGGCCGGATGAACGTTCTGCCGTCATCATGACGTTCCTCCTCATTCGCGCCACGGCGGGGCTACTTTTCCCCCTTTGATGCTTGGGCAAAATGTACGGATTGGCTGGACGGAGAGCTAGTCTGCGGAGAGCATATGTTTATATCTCTCTACTATGTAAGGGTATATATACTGTGCAGCTCAGTTCCACCCCCGACTTTTTCTCAGAAGATCTTGTTTTGTACCTCCATCTGTCTTACTTGTCTCGCTATGCATCTTTCCCTGTGGTCCCTGTTCGTGAGCTCTTGCTTGGCTGTACCGGTCATTCACCGGCAACAACAGGCCCTGCAACCTCTCGACAGGAATGACCCCTACACGCCTGACAACCGGGATCCCTACGATAGTAAAATCGACTCGTATGGCAAAGACTTGCAGCCACTGCCTTGGCGGAACGGCGATGGCGCGACCATGATGGGGCCGCGAAACAAAGACCGCGAGAGGCAAAACCCAGATATGCTTCGGCCTCCCAGCACCGATCATGGGAGCATGTCCAACTATCGTTGGAGTTTTGCCGACTCTCATATCAGGATCGAGGTGAGCTCATAGAAGAGGACTCCCATGCCTGGTTTGGACCTCCAACGTGACTGACGCCGCGCAGGAAGGAGGGTGGACACGTCAAACTACCATCAGAGAACTCGGCTCGAGCAAGGAAATTGCCGGTGTCAATATGAGACTCGATTACGGTGTGATTCGAGAACTTCACTGGCACAAGGAGGCTGAGTGGGCATATGTTCTCGAGGGTAGCGTGCGCGTCACTGCTCTGGACACTGAGGGCGGCAACTTCATCGACGACCTTCAAAAGGGAGACTTGTGGTACTTTCCATCAGGCCATCCCCATTCTCTGCAAGGCTTAGACCCCAACGGCACGGAATTCTTGATCGTGTTTGACGACGGCAACTTCAACGAAGAATCGACCTTCTTGTTGACGGACTGGCTAGGTAAGTCAAGTCTCTTGGGTCGTCCATTATTTGGTAGTGAAACGTCCACTGATGCGGTGCAGCCCACACTCCCAAGTCTGTCCTCGGCGAGAATTTCCGCCTCTCGCCCGAGGTCTTCAAGACCATTCCCAAATCCGACAAATATATTTTCCAGGGTAGCTTGCCAGGCTCCATTGACGAGGAGAAGCCAGATGGCACACACGTCAAGAAGTCCAAATTCAAATTCACCCACAAGATGATGGATCAAGAGCCTCTCAACACCACTGGGGGTCTGGTCCGCATCACCGACTCGACCAACTTCCCCATTTCCAAGACCATTGCCGCAGCCCATCTCGACATCGCGCCCGGCGCAATGCGTGAGATGCATTGGCATCCCAACGCTGACGAGTGGTCATACTTCATTAAAGGCCGTGCACGTGTCACCATCTTCGGCGCCGAGGGCAATGCTAGAACTTTCGACTACATGGCTGGAGACGTCGGCGTGGTACCCCGGAATATGG